CACACTCCCCCAGGGCTGGGGATACTGCTCTGAACAAAACAGACAAAAATTAAAATAATTGCCCTCATGTAACATATTTTAGTAGTAGTGGACAGATGGAAAATGATGATAGTTGATGGTAGATGATAGATAGATAGAATTTATGTTATGCAAGATGATGATAAATGCTATGAAAATAACCAAGTGGAGGAGGATAGGGCATGAGAGACATCAATGAGAAGGTAATAGTAAAGATTTAAAAGAGGGAAGAGATAAAGCTGGTTAGATTTCTGAGGGGAAAATGGATCAGAAAGAGATAAAAGGGCAAAAATGCTGATTCTGGAGTTTTGCTGGCTTGTTCCCGAATCGGCAAGGAATCCAGCTTCATGGGGTAGAGAAGAACGCAAGGAGACAAGATGGAGGTACAGTGCAAAACTAGAGGGGAGTCCACGTAATCTCAGTAGTTTGACTTGTTACTCTGAATGTGAGACTGCCAAAGACAGATTCTGAGCAAAGAAATAGTTTGATGAGACTTGTCTTAAAAAAAAATTTTTTTTTTTTCATTTTGGCCAGTAGGTTGACACTAGATCAGGAAGGTGATGATGCAAATGAGGAAATCAATTGGGAGGCTGTTAGAATAATCCTAGCAATAGATGGTAGTTTGGACAGGGTGGTAGCCGTGTAGCCTCGTAGATACTTCCAAAGGTTAAGTGCAGCTTGTGTTAGACCGATTGCCAATGTGAGCTTACTCTTTGGCCAGAGGATGCAGGTGATTTCAAGCCCCAGCTCTTCTGTGACACAGGCAGATACATGTTAAAAGAAATAACCATTTCTTGCTCCTCTGGTTCTCTGAGCTCTAGTCCATGTGATGATTAAAAAAAATCACTCAGTGAAAACAGAAAACATGTGGAGGAAAAAAATTAAAAGAAGCAAAAATTAAAAGAAAGAAAAATGAAAAGAAATTAAAAGAAAGATGTATATATGTGTGTGTGTGTATATATACATGAATGATTCTAGATATATATAGAAAGTTAGATTTTATTTATTTATTATTTTAGAGAGAGGGTAAGGAAGGGAGAAAGAGGGGGAGAGAAACATTAATGTGCGGCTGCCTCTCATGCACCCCTAACTGGGGACCTGGCCCGCAACCCAGGCATGACTGGGAATCAAACTGGCAACCCTTTGGTTTGCAGGCTGGCACTCAATCCACTGAACCACACCAGCCAGGGGTGATTCTAGGTATATTTTGATGGCCTGGTAAACAAAGATGGTTTTAAGATCTTGGCCTGAGCAATTAAACCATTGGAATTGTTAACCACTGATGGAGAAGGCTATAAAGAACTTGTATAGGGAGGAACATTGGAAATTCGGTTTGGAAAGGTGAATTTTGTGCTGCCTATTAGAAATGCAAGTGCAGATGTTAAGTAAGGAGTTGGATACATGAGACTTGAGATAGGGGAGTAGGTCTGGGATAAAGATATACCTTTGAAAGTCAAAAGCATATTGATGGTATTTAAAGTCATATGACAGGATGAGATCACCCAGGTGGTGAGTGTAAGTGGAAAAGAGGTTTGAGAACTAAGCGTTGGTACACTTTCAGACACACAGGACAGAAGGAAGAACCAGAAAGGAGACCGAGAGCAAACCACTGGGTTACGAGGAGGAAGAATACGGGAGCAATGTAAAGTAATGACAAGGGGAGATTTCATTAAAATTTTACAGGTTTGTTTGTTTATTTATTTTGCACTGCCCAGGGCCATTTCTTTATCTCTAAGGTCTCTTGACTATAATTTCAACAAATAAGCAGTAAGTATAATATTTCCTGGCCAATAAATGTTTATTAAATCACTAAATATGTACACATGTATGTGTATACATAATCAACAAGGAATAGTTACTTATAGAATGGGCTTATTAGGTAGTGGAACAATGTAAAGAATAGAAATAGAATAAAGGGGCTCAGCTGTACAGTGATGGATGGAAACGACTTCTGGTGGTGAGCATGACATAGGACATACAGATGTCAAATTATAATGTTGCATACCTGAAACTTATGTAATGTTATAAATCAATGTTACTTCTATAGAAAAATTTTTTAAAGAATTTAAAAAGAAGATTATGACTTGTTGAACAGTCAGATGATGGTTAACATTTTTTAGCAAAAAGTGTTTCTAAGTTAGTGTATGGACACTCTATTTTAGACATAATGCTATTGCACGCTTACATGCAACACTGGAGTAAATGTAACTTTTATATGCGTGGGCAAACCAAAAAGTCATGTAACTATGTTATTGCAGTATTTGTTTCATTGTGTTGGTCTGGAGTGGAACCTGCAATATCTCCAAGGTATGCCTGTAAAATGCAGAACAAGGGTTTCATCTGAGTCACATTCTCAGCCCCGGACTCTAGCACATTACAACACACCCCTCCTCCACCCACACAGCCTACCCAAACAAACCCAAGGTCTCCGGCAGCTTCTGAAGCATTCTCAACTTATTTAAATTGCTTTCCTGGGCAAAGAATGTAGTAAGTCTGCCTGCTAGCTACCACCCCCTTCCTCCTGACTTTTCACTCCGGAGGCTCTTACACTGAATACAATGGGACGCAGGTCAGGAGGATGAGGTGAATTTGTCCCAGTCTCTCATGCAAAGAACCCCCGTCAGCAAAGAACAAAGCTTCTAGTACCTGCAGTTTAGAGAGCTGCAAGAAAACCACGGTGGCTTTGACTGCTGTCATGCACCAAACTGCGAAATGAGAGCCAGGAAGTCAGGTGTTCCCCCTTCTTTATTTTTATCCCAGTTTTACTGAGATGTAAATTGACATATAACCTTATATTAAAGTTTACAGCAAAATAATCTGATACATGTACATGTCAATAAATGATTACCATAATTATTTTAGTTAACATCCATCACATTCCCTCTTTTAAAGAAATCTTATTCTATTTCCTTTTTTTACTTTTTTTTGAGAGAGAGAATGAGAAGGGAGAAAGAGAGAAACATCAATTTGTTGTTTTTCCAATCACTTATGCATTCACTGATTGCATCTTGTATGTGCCCTGACTGGGGATGGAACTCTCACCTTTGGTGTATCAAACGATGCTCTAACCAACTGAACTACTGGCCAGGGCTCATATCCTATTTCTAATGAGACAGAGAGTATCTGCATAAACCACACAGTCTTTCCACGTACCCGCTCTTTGGCTCCCCTATTCCAGACCCTTGGTTTCCAGAATGATGCTCTATAAAGGCAAAGAAAAGGTCACATAAAATTTCATCCCCTTGTTAGACCGAGCAATATTCCTACGCTCACAAGCTGACATCTTGCATTGTGAACAAAAACCATTTTGCAGAGCTGCAAAGCCAGTGGCTCTGGAGACCCAAGTAGCAGAGCTCACGGAGGGGACAGGTTAAGAGTTGTATCTTAGAGCCAATACATGTGACAGGGATTTGCTAAGGGTTTACTTTTAGGGATGAGAGATTAAAAAGGGGGAAGAAATCTTAAGTTTTTTAAATGTTGAATTTGGAAATGGGGAGGAAAATTGAAAGCTGTGGACTGTTATGTTTGTCATAAATATGTTAGTGCTGGAACCCAACTCTAAAAACTGTTCCTTTGGAAGACATACCAAAAAAAGAACAGTGTGAGGATGGAGCAGGGTTGAAGGACATGACTGAATTGCCAGGCTAGCGAAGAAAAAACTGATTAAAGAAAGAGCCAGGGAAGGGGGGAAAAAGGCCATAAAATTATGACTGCATGGGAAAGAGGGATAGACAGGAAGGCAAACATTGACTCTAAAAGGAACCCATCACAAGCACTTTGACAAGACCATTATAGGAGTATCATTAGTCTAGAGGATGTTCTTCTTTAATTCCCTCCTTTCAATTGGTTGGTCAGTAAACTTCCTCATTTTACATCTAGTAATGTCCCAGGTAAGATTAAAAGGTTGTGGTTTCATTCTATTGTGTTGTCCATTGGATTAGAATAAAAATCCCGACAAAAGGTAATTTCAAACTTGAAGGTCATGGGCACACAATCCTGATAGAATTTCTATTAACAGCCATTGTTTGTAGGTCACTGTTGTGTTAAATAGTGCATTTATCTTTATTTAATTTTTACAACATCACAGAGAAAGTACTTTTGTCCCTATTTACAGATGAGAAAATTGAGACTTTTTAAAAGTGGCTGAACCAAGATTCTATTCAGTAACATGTGTAAGCAAACTGAAAATCTTCCATAGAAATGGTATGTGCATAATTACTAACAGGACACCCAAGTGTCTTAGGTTAGCAGATCGCAGCTCCTTTCCGGAAAACAAGACAACAGTCCCATTGGAAAGACTAGGCAGTCTTTATGAAAGCTGAAAAAAGAAGAAGCAACTTTAGTGGAAGTTGCAAACAAGTACTACTTTTAACATCAATTGAAGGCTTAGCAACACACAATGTGTTTTATTGCTACCTCAGGGTCAGTCAAAGAGGTAAACTGAGGAAGTTGAAGTTTCTGCATAAGTAGCCCAATTTCTAGGGGTCTAGAAATCAAGAAAGTAATTGTCCTAGTGGGAGTTTCATTCACCTGACATAGCCTCAGGAATTGGAAGTATACCTTTGATTTTAAAAGGTAGGAAAGTGAGGAATCTAGAAGCATTTCATTACCGGGTTTATTGTGTCTGTGGCCCCAGTTTTCTCATTCCCCACCCAGTCTAGGTTATTCCGCAGCTACCTTTTGCATTACAATGGCCTTGGGGAGACTGGCAGACGGGATTAACTGAGACTTCGAGAGGGTGTGTGTGGGTGTGGGGCTACCAGGAGGGGCGGGTCTAAATGTGGCCGAGCCTCCCTTATAAATCTCGAGCCTCCACCATCTCCACCTTTTCCTAGACTGGGTTGGTTGGCTCTCCTTATAGAAAAGGTGACTCACTTCATCCCGTCTTTTTGATACTTTTACACCTGGAGATCTTCGTATTTCTCTAAGCTCTTCTATCTTACCATCTAGTTCCTGACGTTTTCCTCCTTCAACTCAGCAGCATGAGTGTGGATTCGGCTTCTCCCCAAAGCCTGCCCTGCCCTGAAGCATCCAATTCTAGGGAACCTTCACCAGTGCCTGAGGTGTACGAGCCTGACGAAAACTATGCATCCTTGCCAATGTCATCTACTGAGACACTCCATACAGAGACTGGTAAGAAAAAATTGAATCCTTGAAAGCCTGAGTTCCTTCAGGGAGAGAGGAAGAGGGAAAAGGGGGTAAGGGTCATCCTTTCGCCTTTTGTGAGCAATTGTACCCACTAACAGAAGCAGGTGTCATTATCTATTTATTAATCCTCGTGACACCTCTCTTTCAATTGTAATACAGCATGTGTGTCCTTTCACCCACGTCCCAGGTGTCAGGAGTTGTGGACTGAGACTAGGAGCGTGGGACTCAGCAGTTCAACTGCGTACTGTGCGTTTGAGAATTTATATGTGTAAACAATGGAAACAAATGTGTTGTGATAAATGAGCTGATGTATAAATCAGAACACTGCATCAGGCACATGGTAATAGGAGACGTTGCTAAGCCAGAGGTGATAAATAACATCACAGCTTGGGGGGACTGCGGGGGCAGGGTGTCAGTGGTTGGTGGTGAGCATCACCTTCCTGGTCCATCTCTCCAGGAGTGCCAGAAATGGCTTGGCTGGTTACACGAGTCTCACCTCGTTGAAATGTTTTACTTTTCCACGACAGTAGCAGTCTGGCTTTTCTCCCATGCGCTGGATGTATGGGAGTTCATGGAAAGCTCTGTGAGCACATGGCTATGCTCAAATCTCCTAAATCCCAAGGAAGTATTAGCTTTATGGTAGATAATTCCAGAAGGTTTAATCTGCTGACAGTGGCTGGCGTTGGGAAATAAAATCTAGTCTGGCTTCAAAACCTATACTCTAGCACCTAGGCTTCCGAATAACAGTGTGTGGGAGGTGCTTGGGGTACTTAAAGCCAGCAACACCTTTTTGGAAATCATTCTGTTAAAAATGAAAAGGTAAAGTACCTTTTAGCCAAAAATACCATTTTCAAAATAGTATAAAACTTAGCTTAAAAACTATGTTATTATTACAACTGTAAAACCTAAGATGTGGAAGAGTTACCACTGTGAGTTCTGGGCTTTAATGCTATCCTATTGCCTTGAACTTTGTGTTGCTTTTTTAAAAAATTTCTTTATTTTTCGAGAGAGGGGAAGGGAAGGAAAAAGAGAGGGAGAAAAATATCAATGTGTGATTGCCTCTCACATGGCATCCACTGGGGACCTGGCCTGCAACCCAGGCATATGCCCTGATTGGGAATCGAACCAGTGACCCTTTGGTTCATAGCCCGTGCTCAATCCACTGAGCTACACCAGCCAGGGTGAACTTTGTATTAATGTCCTTTGATAATTTCAACATTGAAAAAACAGTGCTGGATTGTGAGAGAAATAGCAGGTGGGCATGTCCTCTGTAACAAGCCAAGTGCAAGTTTGTGTAGATGGTTAATTTTTAAAACTTGCCCCACTTCTAGTCATTAGTTGAGGGTTTCCTTCCTGTATCTGTTTCCTTCCTGTATCTGTTTGCAAGAAGCATAAGATTGTGAATGTTTGCCTTTAAAAAAAAAAAAAGATTTTATTTATTTATTTTTAGAGAGGGGAAGGGAGGGAGAAAAAGAGGGAGAGAAACCTCAGTGTGTGGTTGCCTCTCATGTGCCCCAGACTGGGAACCTGGCCTGCAACCCGGGTCTTTGCCCTACACTGGAAATCCAACCAGCGACCTTTTGGTTTGCAGGCCAGCACTCAATCCACTGAGCCACACCACCTAAGGCAAGTTTTTGCCTTCTAAAGCCTGTGCATTTATACCATGACTAGGAATTGGAGTTGAGAACTGGGAATTACTTAATGCAAATAGGAATCAAAGCACTTACCTAAATGTAGGTAATACAGGAAATAAATTACAAAGTCAATATACCCAGGTCCTGTGCTAGACAATTTTTTTATCTATTACCTCATTTAGTCAATGAAGAAACTGACTGAGGGAGGAATAATATTGGAGATGAGGTCACAGAGCTAAGAAAGTCTGGATTGAAACAGAAGCCTATCAAACATCACATCTCCTATTAGTCTTGGTATTTAGTAATGGGTAGTAACTGTTGATGGTATAGGATTGCCAGAATCTGATCATCAGTTTACTGATTTATTTATTTTTTGGAATAAATACCTTTGTTACATGAGCTGTAATAGGAGGGAGGAGCATTCATTTGCCATTCCGGGCCTTGATTTCTATCAGCTAGAACCCCAGCTCCCTGCCCTCCAGCACAGAGCCATCAGCTGATTTTGGAATTCTTTGTCCTTTTGTCATATTTCTTCTGAATTTTCTTTGATCATCTTTAAATTCTCTTCTTCCTTAGGAGTCAACTTGGTGCCCTTCCTGCAGCCCAGGGCAGTACCTAGTGGGATTTCCACTGTCTGCTGTGTGGCCAATAAGCACAATGCAGTTGTTTTTAAATTTATTTTTAGACGGGGCAGGAGGGAGAAAAAAGGGGGAGAGAAACATCAATGTGCGGTTGCCTCTCCCAAGCCCCATCTTGGAGACCTAGCCTGCAATCTAGGCATCTGCCCTGACTGGGAATCGAACTAGCAACCCTTTGGTTCACAGGCCCATGCTCAATCCACTGAGTCACACCAGCCAGGGCACGATGCAGTTCTTTACTAGAGTCTTAGTACAGACTAGCTTGTTGGGTGCATTGCAGACAACATCAGTAATCCTTGTTTTGCATTATAACACTCAGGAGCCCCAGGAGAAGCTGCCCACATACACAGGTGGTACTTCTTGCTGCCTCCCCACATGTGGACTGTGCGTATGCAGTGGGGCCAATCTGAGTGCTGGCAGCATGGCGTTCCAGTTCAGAGGTTTGCTTCTCGTGCTGGGACTTGCTCTTGCCCCCAGTCTTTGGCATTTGTGCCAGTCTTGAGACATGCCCATGGCATAGCACCGGCTGGAAAAAGCTGACCATCGGTTTAAAAAAATTATGTAGGTATGAAGATTACTAAAAGGAAGTTATGAAGGGACACAGTACTTGGGAATCAAGTAATCTGTTTTGACTTGTATGAACAGCCAGGGTGTTGCCCCAGAGGCTTGAATCCCACTGTGTTCCTCAGCAATATTAGCCAAGTCCATTAGGAGTAGCCATGACTATTGCATGTAAAATGGTAACACTGGTAAACTTACTGAACTGTACAAAGATTGGCATATTACTCAGGTTACTTAAAAATTATTTGTTCCTACCTAGCTCTGAGGTTGTGAAGACTTTAAAAATGCTTTGAAAATAAATATGCATATTAGTATTTAAAAGGCTTTAGAGAAAAGTGTCGTTTTTATTCCCAGCAGTCTCTCCTCTTCCTTCCTCCATGGACCTGCTTATTCAGAACAGCCCTGACTCTTCCACCAGTCCCAACATAACACTGCCCACTTCTATAGAGGACAGTGTAGCAAAGGAGGAAAAGGGCCAGCTCAAGAAACAGAAGGTCAGAACCGTCTTCTCACAGGCCCAGCTCTGTGTACTCAATGAGAGATTTCAGAGACAGAAGTATCTCAGCCTCCAGCAGATGCAGGAACTTTCCAACGTCCTGAACCTTAGCTATAAACAGGTAAGGTGTTTGGTTGTTTTCTTTGCAATAGGAAATGTTTTTTAAAGATTTTATTTATTTTTAGAGAGGGAAGGGAGGGAGAAAGAGAGAGACATCAATGTGCGGTTGCTGGGGGCCTTGGCCTGCAACCCAAGCATGTGCCCTGACTGGGAATTGAACCTGCGATGCTTTGGTTCGCAGCCCGTGCTCAATCCACTGAGCTACGTCAGCCAGGGCTGCCATGTGGAATCTTAGTTTATTGTGTCCTGCAATATAACATGATATTTTCTAATTGTCCTAGTGGTATATTTCATAATTCCTGAATTAAAATATCACCATTTTCATGAAATACTGCATTTTTCCATGTATAAAGTACTTTCATGTGTAATGTGCACATAGGATTTGGCCCACACTTTCAGGGGGGACATCTTTCATTTTAATTTTTTTAATTCAATTATTTATACATTTATATTTAGATACTTGATTTGTATTACAAAGGAATTTTAGCATCTACTATTGAACATATTATGGTACAGGAGATTTTGTGTAACAAATAAGTACAAAAATACAAGAACAGATACAATGTACAAAAAATTTTTTACAACAAACTGACTGTTTATATTCCAAGGTATTATTTTGCATATGGATATTGTTATTGCTTTTTTAGAGTTATACTTTTTTTAAAGCATTTTATTTGTTTATTTTTAGAGAGAGGAGAAGGGTGGTAGACAGGGAGAGAAACATCAATGTGTGGTTGCTGCTCGAGCACTTCCTACTGGAGACCTGGCTGACATTCCAGGCATGTTTCCTGACTGGGAATCGAACCAGCTTCCCTTTGGTTCATAGGCTGATAAACCACTTAGCCACAATAGCCAGGGTGCTCTCTAGAGTTACACTTTTAACACATAAGCATAACTAAAAGAGTTAAAAGCATTTATATAGATAGGGAATTAGTACTACTCACGTATAATGTGCATTCTTAATTTTCCCTAAAAAATTTGGACAAAAGTGCACATTATATATGGCAAAATATGTTACATGATGTGTTCATGGGGATGGGGCTTTTTTACTGCAAACAGATTAAAATTAACTGTGACTAATGGCATGAGTAAACTAAAGGAAGGTGAGTAGACGTTTAAGTGTACACTTCCAGGTTAATAGAGTACACTTCCAGGTTAATAGATTTGCAGCCTGTTTTTTAAAAGACTCTAGAAATTAGAATTTTGTTCCTGAGCTTTAGTTAGTTGTAGTCGTCTCGGGGGGGCGGGGGGGTGTGGAATGTGAATAATATTCTGGTCCCTAGCACATCTGTGTTACTACTATTTTATGTTGTTTTGTCACTTTTTTCCTGCAGATTAAGACCTGGTTCCAGAACCAGAGAATGAAATGTAAGAGGTGGCAGAAGTACAACTGGCCAAAGAATAGCAACCGTTTAACTCAGGTAACAGGAAACATTTATTCTGCTCTTCCCTTTCAGTGACATTTTAGTTTTGTTTATTGCTGAAGTCACAGTTGTATGACTGAAGTCATACAACTCCAGTCACAGACAGCTCTGAGTTTTTCTGTACCCTTTCAGTTAACACACCCTTTTCTTTCAGATGAGCTCAGCAACTACAGAGTACCTGGGCTTCTCTTCCTATCATCACCAGGGATGTTTGGTGAATGCTTCTGGAAACCTTTCAGTGTGGAGCAACCAGACCTGCAGTAACCTCTCTTGCAGCAACCATTCCTGGAACAGCCCATCTTGGAACTACCATTCCTGGAATAGTCAGACCTGGTGCCCCCAGGCCTGGAACAACCAGGCCTGGACCAATCAGTTCTATAGTTATGGAGAGGAATCCCTGCAGCCCCAGATTCAGTTCCAGCAAACTCCCATCAGTGATTTAGAGGTCACCTTGGAAACTGCTGGGGAAAGCTATGATACAATACTGCAAACCCCTATGTATTATACCACCCAGCAAACCATGGATTTATTCCCAGATTACTCCATGAATATGCAGCCTGACTCCACAAACATTTAGTCCTGAACATTCAATGTGACAACAGGTGTATTCAATCTCAATTTGGCAGTGGTTATATATGTCCTAGGATTTTTCAGTGTGTCTCTGCCTTGATATGCTGCTTCTCATTATGCCAGTTTGGAGCGGTGGGGGTGAGGTATGCAGAGTCTAATCAGAGATTTCCGTAGCCTTGCAGCTAGAGACATATAAGATGTCTCTGGCTATAGATAATTAAATATAATACTATTTTGAATTACTCTAGGGTGTAGAATTTCAAACTCAAGAATAGAAAGTAAAAGTACAAAGATGTGTGATAAAAGATTATTTGTGTTTTCTGGGATTGGGAGGCCTGTTAAAAACCTCAGTTCAGGTGAATGGTTAAGCTACAATATACTTAACTGATTTCCTCTGCCCCTTTTGCTGTTTTACTACAAACCCCAATTTATTACTCAAGTATTTGTGATAGATGTTTTGTATTTTGCTGTATCATCATATTACCAGTTTGGCTGGTTGGTTTATAAGTTTAAGTACAAATAAATAAAACATCTATTTTCCCATTAGTTGGCTTTGTCTTACTTTTACCCAGTGGTCTAACGAGTAAAAATCTGCTCAACATGGGTATTTACTGCATTTTTGATGTGGGGGGAAATTAACTGAAATTTTCTCTAGCCACTGGGGAGATTGCTATCTTAGAAATGAGTCAAAAAAAAGTCATGAAGGTTATGATAGATGACTAACTAAACTTGAACAAGCTTACATCCTCTTTGTATGTGTAATATTGAAACAATACAGTTGTGGCTATTTTCAGTTAAGAGTGACACATCTAGAGGATGCGGAAAGTGATGAGCAGAGCTCTTGGGTTTGGAGAGGCAGCGGGGAGAGGCAGTACTGGAATGTCACCCTGTAACGAATGTCACATATACGACAGGTTCTGTGACTTCTCTTTATTCAGTGTAATTCTACCCTGCCAGAAGCACCTTATGTTGGAATAAGCTTATTTTTAAGCATTTTAAAAATAAAATGCTTTTATTTTTTGACATTTAAATTCATAGATAACTACACAGCACAATTTAATGTCATTGCAATGTATGACTTGATAAGTGTATTAATGTTAAGACTGAAAAAAAATGGATCAGAGACCAATATATAAGTAAACACTAGGGCTAGTTTGAAATAGAATTTTTCTTTTCCAGGTAAACTATGTCCTCACCTTAGAAGAAGCTAAGCAGTCCCCTATAACTTATACTAGTAAACCCTTTTTTTCACTGCCCTGTTCCCACCCAGGCTTGTCCCAAGTTTATTGGATTGTGGGAGCACTTTTCATTCATGACTCTGCCTTTTGCTCCATGGAAACCTCCAGGTCTCTGAAGCATCAGAGATGCAGAGAATAACCAGAGTAGGTTTCGTGGTCATTTTCTTCATGGTTCTCTCAATTTTCCAATATTGCTCTATAATGTCATCCAATCCAATTATCTAGACATTTCACAGAAGAAAAGGAAGGCGGGATAATTAATTTCTGCCAAGACCTAAGGACAACACGCTGTTCCTTTCAACTGTCAGGTGTCTGAGTCTGTGCCAAGCATTACATTATGAACCAAGTAGACACCTGAAACAAAACAAAAATTTTATTGAACTACGAAAATAGTGTACGAAATGCCATTCTCTAAGTCGCCACTTTTTAGTCTTACAGTTCAAGGACAGATTCAATCGTGACTTTGAAAAAAGTCAATCTGGTCCTGCCACCTGCCTTTTTCACTTAAGTTTTGAATATATGAATGAAGGATTAAACAAAAGTAGTTAGAGTAAACTATGTTTTTTTTTAATTTGTCACTAACATTTTTACAAAATCTTTGGCTCCAACTAAATGCACATAGTAGACAAAAATTTTGAGGAAATACCAAATGATGAACCTGAGCCTAGAAACTTTTGGGAAAAGAAACTATTATTATAAAGTGATGGAGCCCAGGAAATGTCAGCACAGCTCTGCAGTACTTGCCCGTGTCATGGAGCAATTCTTTACACCCCTGCTTAACTGCTTGTGTTTTGCATAAACTTGGGTTTATTAGACATTGGGAATAGGCAAGGATAGGGCTAAGAATTAAGGAAAGTTTAGCAAAGTGGAGAAGAGCACCTATCACCTTCAAAGCATCATGCTGGAAACTGGAGAAGAAAAAGGAAAAAAAAGATTGAAAAAGGGAGGTAAAAGGGGCTGCTGGCTGAGTTTCTGGTTGATCTTGTTCCTCCACGCCCAGCGGTGCCTGCTCCTTTTGCGGCCTCGCTGGTTCTCAGCGATTCCGATCCCGGCGGGAGGGAGGGCGGGCCGGGTGGCCCGGGCTGCGGCGGCGGGCAGCTGGGCAGCTGGGCAGCTGACTGGAGCGCTGCTCCTCACTTGGGGTCGGAGGGACCAGGGACCGAGTGCACGCTGCTTGGCACCGCAGGGTCATCCCGCCCTGCCCTTGGGAACAGGGATGTTAGGCAGCTCTGCGGCCCGCGAGGCGGGCTCAGCGCTGTTCACAGTGCAGCAGACAGCACCCCAAGAGGACAAGGAGAACATCAACCCAGAGAAGGAGTCGTCTGCTTAGCAGCCCCGGACCCAGTCCGGGGCTGGCTGTACTGAAGGCCGGGAACTAGCGGGGTCCAGCGCCGCCGCAAAGGCCCGAGACGCGACGGGGTGCACCCCATAAGGATCTTAATGTAAATGATGAGCATGTCATCATCCCTCCCTGGAATGCACAGTAAACAGCCTGCATTTACCATCCATGTGGATGAAGCAGAAGAGACTCAGAAAAGGCCAAGTGAATCCAAAACAGAATGTGAAGACGTCCTGGCGTTTAATTCAGCTATTGGTTTACCTGAACCGAGAAAACCACTGGTATCTCTTGATTATCCAGTGGATGGAAGTTTTGAGTCACCGCAGACCATGGATATGTCGATCATATTGGAAAATGAGAAGCCAGTGAATGTTAATGAAGTCCCAGACTACCACGAGGACATCCACACCTACCTTTGGGAAATGGAGGTTAAATGTAAGCCTAAAGTGGGTTACATGAAGAAACAGCCAGACATCACCAACAGCAATGAGGGCCATCCTCGTGGACTGGTTAGTTGAAGTAGGAGAGGAATATAAACTACAGAATGAGACCCTGCACTTGGCTGTGAACGACATCAATAGGTTCCTTTCATCCATGTCTGTGTTGAGAGGAAAACTTCAGCTTGTGGGGACTGCTGCTATGCTGTTAGCCCCGAAGTTTGAAGAAATTTACCCCCCAGAAGTAGCAGAGTTTGTGTACATTACAGACGACACCTACACCAAGAAGCAGGTTCTCAGAATGGAGCACCTGGTCCTCAAAGTCCTCGCGTTCGACTTGGTCGCCCCGACTGCCAATCAGTTCCTCACCCAGTGCTTTCTGCACCAGCAGCCGGCAAACTGCGAAGTTGAAAGCTTAGCAATGTTTCTGGGAGAGCTGAGTCTGATCCACGCGGACCCGTACCCCAAGCACCTGCCCACCTGCCCTCAGTTATCGCCGGAGCGGCCTTCTACCTAGCACTCTACACGGTCACAGGACAGAGCTGGCCTGACTCTTGGGTGCGGCAGACGAGGTACACCCTGGAGAACCTGAAGCCCTGTCTCCTGGACCTGAACCAGACCTACCTCAGGGCCCAGCAGCAGGTCAGAGAGAAATACAAGCACCCCAAGTACCATGGCGTTTCCGTCCTCATCCCTCCAGAGACACTACGGGTGTGACAGGGGCAGCTGCCCCCGCTTCTAAGATGGGACTCCCTCCGAGGACAGGGCGTGGCTTTTATTTTAGGTCTTTACCATCATTTCTGAACACAAAAGTTATTCTCAATACACATTATGCTATTTTAAAGTGGTTTTAATGTGTATATCTTTTGTACATGTAACTATCTTACACACGTGGCCAATTTTAAGTGGTTTTGTTAAAGTATTAACGATGCCAACCGTCAGGATAAGAATAAGAATTAATAAATCGATTTAGAAAACTTGGATTTTGTAAGTCAAATTTAATTTGAGGTAAAAATTTGACTTCAGGATTTCACTCAGAAAAGTTATTTTCTCCTATGGGGATTAGGGAGGCTTCTAAAACTGTAAGAAAAAGAACTGTATTTTATAGTTTCAGGAAAACAGACAGTGGTTCTGGCATTTTCCTAAGCGTCCGGACCATTTGCTGACTTGCATGATCAAAGCAAATCTGGAATAAATCTGTTTATTTTTTGGTTGTGATGATCCTAGACTCTTTGAGCCCTTTGGACACACTAAGAAAATGCTTTTTCACTCATCAACTTGCACACTTTATACTAAAGTGACAATTATTTAAGACCTGTTATGTTCTCCAGAAGGTTTATTTAAAACAATGTAAGAACTATATAAAGAAATGGCTAGATTTTACAATGGATTTGTGAATAAAAAACACCCAAGGTTGCCAGCACTTAAATAAATATCCTTTTAATAATTATTTACATAAACAACCACGTGGGCGTTACTGAGCAGGCCTCTTCTTTTTCCTCCTTCTCACCTGCTTTTTACTTGGCGCCGTTTCTTGTTTTGCACTGACAGGTCTGTGGGTCTGTGTTATGTGAACAGAGTGAACATTTACCAAAAAAAAAAAAAAGAAAGAAAGAAAAAGGGGGATAAAAAAACCTAAGGCAGAGGATAGCAAAATCAAATCAAGGAAGCAAAGGACATTTTTTTAAGGATTTTTTACATTTATTTTTAGAGGGGAAGGGAAGGAGAAAGAGGGAGAGAAATATCAATGTGTGGTTGCCACTCACATGCCCCCTACTGGGGACCTGGCCTGCAACCCAGGCATGTGCCCTGATTGGGAATCAAACCCGTAACCTTTTGGTTCACAGCCTGCACTCAATCCATTGAGTTACACCAGCCAGGGCCAAAGAACATTTTTGATTTATCTTTTTATAAAATTGTACATTCTGATTGCAAAACTGAAAGAAACCTGCTATTAAAAACAAATTTAAGAACTACATAATAAAGTGAATCT